GATCTCACTGAATGGCTGTAGCTGTTGCTCCATCTGAGAAAGGCTTGGAAGTTGAACTGCTGTTCCTTGGTAAATAGCGCCACCTTTTGACCATTCTTTCTAATTGGAAAGCATTTCACTTTTAGATTTGTTGTGTTGCTGTTTACAGTAACATTAATAATCCTCACAATAGAATTGATCTTAGAGACTTTATTTGGTTTATGTTTTATTATCACTGATAAAACCTTTATTATTCCAGTATAATTATTAGGAATTGCAGGTTTGCCTATTATTTTATTTTTTTTTAGTAGAAATTCTGTTGTTCTTTGAAGGTCTGAGAGGTCATAAAGCCACCTCCTATGGTTCAAACATCTTGTAAGCCTTCTTAATTAATCATTTGAAAATAAGAAGAAGCCTGCACAACAGAAAACCTACCCAGATATGGATGTCCACCTTAAAATGAGTGTGTTAATCAGAGAAGAAGTCAAGAGGTGCTTGGTTACTCTGAAGGAATAGCAGAGATACAGAGCTCAGGTGGAGGCATCTGTTGCAGCGGGTCAAAGCCTCATGAGGACAACAATGACCATCACCCTCACTTTACCAAATTTCATTTGTTGAACACTTTTAATGCCATCCCTCTTATTTTTTCCACTTACTTTTTATATATTGCTTTGTAAAAAACATTACATTAAAAATCTCTGAGGTAAAGTAAAGTAGGTTCAGAGAGTATGCATACTTTAGCACAGCATGTGTTCCTGCTTTATGTTATTGTACGGAAAGCAAGACTGACACCAAACTTATATAAAAAAAAGCTTTTTGCACAGTTTATTTTAATGCATCACTCAGCAACTTCAAGTCGCGTCTGCATCTGCAAAAGAAATCTCAGCAAAGCCTTTTGCCCGGTTTCCTCTTTCAAACAGCCTTCGTCTCTACTGCAGTAACTCTGGTTGAAACTAACAGAGGCAGAAGGTTAAGTTTAAGATTTATGCACTCAGCTATTGTTACTTTAAAACACATCTAGATAAACCAAAGGGACGATTACAAGAAATGAATCAAATTTTAATAATAAAATAAATGGTTAAATAAAATATATTTTTTTTAAATGCATGGTTATCCAACATATCTACAGAGTTCTTAGTCTGAATTGGTGTGAAACGCTACATTTGAAGAATATTGTAACAAAAGTAAAAGGTTTAAATCTCATAATGTTTTACCCTTTTCTGTTTATTACCTTTTAAAAGACACCTGCAAAGGTTTACTGAGCTTTAAATGGTCTCTCAGTCTGGGTCATGAGGCTGCACCATCAGACTGCTGAGTGGACATATGTCCAGAAGAAGCCATGAAAAGACACCCGGATACAGGCTGGCTTTTCAGAGAGGGGGCGTTAGTGGTAGAAATCTAAGAGGTAGGAAAACATTTGGCAGGAAGAAGTGAACCAAAAACATGGATAACTAGACCACTGAGGAACGAGGGGGAGCTTCAGAAGGAGGGGCTCAGGCTGGGGGCAGAGCATCAAGAAACACCTCACACAGACAAATCGAACAAAGGGGCGACTTATGACATAACTGGAGAGACACCAAATCAATGCTGTTGAACTGTGGTGGGAAGCGTCCACAGCCAGTGATGGTTTGGGTGGCATGTCATCTGCTGACTTTCATCCAGTATCTAAAGACCACAGTCATGCTTCGTTGATCGCACAGGTTTAAGTAACTCAGGTGTTGCTGAACTAACTCCAGAGAACCGGAGGAGACCAGAGACACCAGAATCAGCGAAGCAGATAATCTAAACGTTGCATCCAGGCTTCCATAAAACCTTAGCAGACTTTTTTTTTTCTCTGTTTACCTGCATATCTCTCTGGTTACAATATTCACTGTTCAAAATTTTTCTGCAGCTAAGTTTAAAATGATAAGTTACCCAATTTTGCTTGTTTTTATCTGTTGAAGGGAGACTAATGGAGTTTATCAGCTTCTTTATCTGCTGACTAACGGTCTAGTGAGGCTGTGTCATCATCTTTAAAGACTTTACTAGTCAGATAGAGCCCATTCTTTAAAGAAATCACGGTCTTATTAAAATATGCAGATGTTTTTTCCTACACCATTGCTCAAAGAAAGTATTTTCTACAACCTGGTGGTAGGTTTCCCTCACTTTGCTTAAAGTGGTCATTCTCAGTGCCTGTTTGGCTTGTATTTCACTAAATAATAACCTTTGCCTCAAATTCAACTAGCTTTGTGGGGAAATAAAGAGAGGAAGATAGATGGAAAAACTTTGACGTTTAACATTATTTTTATATCTAGTGTCATATATAATGAATAAAATAAAGGGATGGGGGGGTGGAAGGGGGTAACAAATGTAGAAAGAATCAGATTAACTTCTCTCTAATTGTTCAGTGACTCAATCTGCATGTCAACACAGGATCAGTGGAGCCGCCTGTGAATGTTTGTGCTGGCGAGGCGCTGTGTGGATCAGAGCCCCGACATGATGGAGTGTGGATCACCATCCGTTACATAACAGCCTCTCCACCTTTGTGTGTAATTAGCTTTCTGTTAATTAGGTAATTAAGCTAATGAACAGGGGCTGCTTTTGATTACCAGGAGCGGGAGGGGGTGGATGGGTTTCAGATGCTGGTCTGCTGCCGAGGGCTGTGGCACTCACTGTCTGACCAAACAAGGAGACTGAACCAAAGGATACCAGGTCTGGTTCTACCTGCTCTTTAAAATGTCAACTGGGAGCGCAGTTTGGCCTTTCCTCCATTTTCTAACAAATAACTGAAACATTGGACTTTTAGTCCTCCTTTTGATAATTTTCCAGTCTGTACTCTACATCTTATTCCTTATTACACATTTATTAAAATAACAAGCTTTAGTTAAGTTCTACATAATGTTTGCCATTGCATCCCAAAATCAGGTGCAGGTGGGCTTTGTGTAAAGCAGGCTGCAATAATAGTTGGATTGAGCTAAAGAAGCATGATCCTTACACTGGTTTGATACAGCGGACGTAGAAAAGCTGATTCATCTGTTTACAGTAGACATAAAATGAATACCAAAACATGATTTATTATTCAAGACCTTTTCTGCTGAACACACCTCATATAAGAAGATAAATAAAAAAGTCGGATGCATTAAAGCCACATCCATGAGATAAAACCATTCTGAGGCACTTTCTCGCTGACCTGCAGGGATGAGTCTTTTCTGGTAAACAGTAATTAAAAAATAAAGTTTAGCATCTGTGGTAGGATTTTCTTCATCCGTGATCGGCAGAGTCCTGAGATTTCAACAGATTACAGATTTCTTAGAGAGGTGAAAAGACCGGATTTTAATTGGAAAAAAAATAAGTTTCCAGCAGCATTATATGTGAAGTATAGCATGGTGAAGACTGTAAGGAAATATGGAGGAACAGTAATATAGTGTCTCCATTATCTGGAAAGGGAGACCAATAAGGGCCAGACAGGACTACTGAAGACGCTGTGAGGGGTTCTGGTTGGTTTTTTTTGTTTTTTTTTTCAAAGAAAGGTCTAATCTTGTGAACATTTTCCAAAAACCTGAGACCAACTTGAATTTCAGGCTCTCTTTAGGTACATTTGGTATAAAAACAACAAATTGACAAACCATACCTATACAGACACTGAAAGATAAGAGGTGGAAGCATCATGATGGGGGTCTCAGATGAAAGCTGTTTTTGTTCTTGAACAGTTTAAACTGAAAATGAAATAAGATTTCACCTTTCTAAAACACATTTCTTCAATAATGTTAAAAATCCCAGAGATTTTCTTTTTCTTTCTGGTAGACCCAAATAAATCTCAAAAAAACCCTGAGAGAATTTCCCAAGACGACTTTAAGGGGGCTCCAGACTTTAACCCTCATTACTTTCAGAGTTGGAAAACCTGTTTCAGGAACAGTGGGAAAACATGGAGGAGTGAAGGCTTAGGATGCAGAGAACACTCAGCTGAATCACTAATGCATCTATGCTTTAATACTTTTCATCTTTTCTCTCTGACGGATTGAATTTATCAGATTAATTATACAGAATATATGTCATTAACAGGGGAAAAAAGATATGGCAATTATTTAAAACATTGCATGGTAAAAGCACATATTGTCTATGATGTTTTCATGATTCAGGGCTAATTCTTTATGTAAATTTTATCATTCCTTTTATTCGGATTGGCTGTATTAAGTTATTATGTTTGATATATCAGAAACATTCCTGATAATTAATGCATGTCACTTTGGTTTAATTATGTGTGAGTTTTCAAGCAGCTTTCCTTCAGAACGTCCAACTTGGATCATCAAAAACATCCCCTTCTTTACAGAACGGTATATTAAATGGTAGGATCTGTCCGGTCCTGAAACACATCTGGATTTTATTTCAGAGTTTTCTATCAAAGCTTTCCTTTTAGATTTAAGGATGTCGATGCACCGATTCTGAAAGTTTATTTTAAGTGTGTGACTTTACACAATTGTAATGCCAATAGTCCATATGAACACTTGGAAGATAATTCATAATTTGTTCCACAGGAAGGTAGAATAGTTCAAGTTTCCAGAAAGCATTTTGATGTGAAAGCATTTAACCATCAGCATTTTATTTTTAATTGTATTAATATTCAACTGCAATGTAAGAATAATGTATAGCTTTCACAGAACTTTACCAATAAAAGTGGATCCAGAATCCAACCCGTTCATTTAGTCTGATTCACATCCAATAAGACTGAAATGAATCCACTCCAGATTATATTCCTGTAAACTCAATCTCAGTCAATCATATGTCAGATGGAGGGCGGGGAAAGCCCCTCTAAGTAAACCCTGTTGATTGCAACACGGTGAGCTTTGTTTGCAGGGTTGGAGTCTAAATGTTATAAAGTGGCAGTGAAAACAGATTCCTCAACCTTCAATAATTCACCACCTGTTTGATTCATTTCATTTGCATAAAGATTTTCATGCAGATATTTAGATATAGTTGAATGTTCTTTATGTTCTCAATGCAAAGACTCAAAAAAAAAAGAAAAAACCTGAAGGAAAGATTTTCAGCTCCATTTTATTTGATCTGTCCATGTCACAGCAGAAAGGGGCTTTACAGAGGGAAAACAAATGCTTCTTTTTAAATCATCGTCCTGAAAAGAGATTTATTACAAACAAATGACTGGAGGGTATATTTAATTGAAAAAAACTTTCAAAGGGTGTTAGATGAACGGTATGGCTTAATAACGTCAGATAAAAGAGAAATATTCCATGGACAGGAGCTGATCTACCTGGTGGTTTTCTATCCCCCTAAGCAGCAGGCTACAGTAAACCTTTCCTCAGCTTTCTTAAAGCTAAACCGGAACATAATCCATCTCCCTACCCCTAAACATCTACAGTATATCACTGAACTAGATAGAAAGCGTCCCTGTGTGCAGTGGTTATGGCGCAGCAAGAAAACTAGAATTACTGTAAGTAGAAACATGCAGCGGCAGGAGGAAAAATGTGGAGCATTACCTCACACCAGTAACCTAAATCAGAGGTCAAGTAGCAAAGCATTTCTAATGCGATGGAAGGGGAGAAATGAAAACATAACATTCCTAAAGACACTTGGAAAAAAAAAAAAAATCTTTCCATAAGAACAAAGCTTTAAAACAAAAAAATAATCATAAAGCCACATCTGTGCTGGACTTCACTTTGATCCTTTACGATGGCTTAGACATAAAAAGCCAGGGTGAAGTTCAACCTTGATGGGTATTAAACTTTGAATGTTACATTCCCTCCATCTGAGCTAATAAAAGCCCAACCGGATGAAAAAGAGGAATGACGACGACCCCAAACCTCTTAACAGAAAAGCACACTAGTGCTTTGGCACCAAACAAACTAACCGATTCATGGTGTGAAGCAGGAAAACGCAGCTTATAAAAAACTAGATGGTGCAACTGAAAGGTTATAATCAATAAATCAGAATGTGTGCTTCAGAGAGGCTCTTTTGACAGATTAAAAGTACAGAAAGCAACCTTAAAGTATTAAACATACGTTTCATTTTAAAAGGTTTCAATTGGTCTGCAATATTCTGATCGTTAATGTGTTTTCATTCAGAATTACATAAATAACAGAAAAAAAAGGACAAAAAGCCTACAAAAAACAGAAGGCTGTGTGCAATGATCAATAAAAGTCTCTATAATACTCTAATCTATTGAGGATGATTCCTTCCTCTACACCAGGAATGACATGGTTGGTCCCTTGAATGTCCAGAAGTCCGGAATGGGTCAGTACAGACAGGCAGAGCCCCCCCCTCCTCCTACACTTATTACTTAATGCTTTTCCAATGAGATTCACACAATCTAAACTCTCTGAACCCCTCAGAGCTTCAGGACCAATATTATGATTAAAACAAGGCAGCAGTCATTAAAAGATATAAAAATATATTGATAACCTTTCCTCATTGAAAGCAAAAATACTATCTTTACCTAAGCTGTGGACGTTGCCTACTGTGAAGGCAGATACAGAGTCCTGGTTTTAAAAAAAACAAAGTGCTTTACAGTCTAATGATGTCTTGAGCGTCCTCCCTCAAAGGCATGATGATCCATATGAGCTGGAAGAGAGCGGATTCATTTCATTACACGTCTGGACAGGAAGAGGCTAAAGCTACAACTACAGGGTTTAAACTTGGCATCATTGGAGATAAAAGTGTTTAGATTTAGGTTTTAATGAAAATAAAGATATTAAAGGCACGAGAAAGAGAAATATTTCTCTAAATTGGGCAGAAAGTCTGCTTTAGACTGGAAGCAATTCATGGTGACCCCCAGTAATAATGCTGCGTCAGCATTAAAAGGTGAAAAAGTTAAAAGCAGTGATATCCTACATTAAAGACTAGTATAGGGCTGGGGGATGTGGACTAAAATATATTTTTTCCTACCAAATCCAATATTTCTTTAAAAATAGCTCTTATTTCAATATTTCCCTCTGAGGAGTAACATTAATTTAACAAAATCCAAGCTGTGAAACATGTTGTAAAATAATCTTGTTTCACAACAGCCACTAAAAAACATAAACATTTGCAGCTGGTGGTCTTATACGGAGAGATAGTTTATCAGTAATGAGATCATGAGTTTATCATCGAAGGACAAAAAGAGGGAGGAACTGATGTCACGGAAAGCTATGAGAGCCCAAAGAGATGAGCGGGGGAAAATAATCCCAATTCTCAAAATGTGAATCTTTATAAACAATTTATTATTTTTTATATTAGTAATCAATCATTTTAACAATTATTTCATCACTTTATTTATGCTTTTTGTGTTTTCTGTTTATTTCATGAAGCACTTTGGAGTCTTCAGACTTAATAAAGCCCTATAGAAGTAGAGGCTATTGGCCAATCTAACAGGTCAGACCCCATTACTCCAAAATATAAAGCTGGACACCACTGGCATTCATTTTGACTAATGATTATGTTTTATTGCACATTTCTGCAATTTAAAAAATGTCCAAATCACTCCTCCAGAGCCTATGTTTGTGGGAGCTAGCAGTTAGCAGGGAGCCAGAATCAGACTCCCATAATGCTGCTGGGTGCAGAAAGCTGCTTCTGCTCCCTATGGTGGAAGGTTAAATGCTAATTCTGTAGGAATTTAAATATGTTTTTAGGTCTGCTGGAGGAGAGTGGACACCAATGACAGGATGCACAGTGATGGAGCACAAAAACTGGGCACATATCGGAAGCAGTACCACCATTGCAACATTTAAAAACTTAATCGCGGTTGCAAGATTTACCAATATCATCCAATATCATAAGATTTACAGCCTGTGCCTTGCAGCTTTACTCCACAGCATACCTTTAGGCTAATTTATTCATTCATGCATAATAAGAGCAAAGAAAAATACATTTCCATACTTACGCTTATAAAAAACTGCTTTAAAGGATATATACGGGAGCAGCTCATAGACTTTCCCCAAGATATTTGCTTCATTAGCAAGAGTTGCATCTTTGTTCCATATTTGCACCACATCCTCTCGATCTCGAACGCTAACGCTGACGCCGACGACCTCATCATCTGGGGAATAAAAAGGAAGAAATGTGAGAAAGGGATCTGATTGCGTAAAATGAAACATAAAACAAAACATACCTGATGCACAGTAATCTGCAAACTGCTCCCCGATAGTAGCAAGTAACAACTCCTTCCAGACCGTAGACTGAAACACAGAGCAGACGATAAGGAAGTGAGCCGCGTCTGGATGGGAAGAGCAGGCAAACCAAGCGCAGCACTTACACTGTTTTCTTTGGGGATTTTCATCTTCCAAACTCCTCCTTTGGCATTACTTTCTTCTTCCCTGATGGTGCAGAAGAGAAATGCCAAAAAACAAACAACCAACGTTGCTAAGAAAATGTAGAAGACGAATCATTTTGCAGCTGAGAACAAATCTGGTGGTGTACGACGTTAAGGGAATATTTAATCTACATGCACCCGATAGCAAAGGGATGCTGCAGGGATGGACTCACCATAGCGGTCTCCTCTCTCCTCGCATCAGGTGGTAGCTACATCTGAGAGGCAGGGCTGTGACTGGAGGGATGTTGTTATAAACACCCCAGAACATCTGGAAACAGAACACCAAAATCTATGAAACGCTCATCAAGATCAGATCTGGATTTTTTTTTTATATCCCACCATTCACCCTCTACATCAGTACACCAGCGCCCTCTGCTGGATAACAGGTGTTACATTCTTGGGGTTCCTGCTGGTCCAGCTGCCAGATGCAGGGTTTTCCAGGATTTTCCTGGAACTTTGTGCTGCAGCAGAGAGCGTGGTGTGATTACAGCATTAACACCACACTCCCTTTCGTTATCTGACTGCAGTTTGTTTCAATAAAGCCCAAAAAATGTACATAAAAACCACAGCTGGAACGCTTCTGTCTCCTGGTTTCAGAGTTGGATCCAGTCGACAAAGACTTGGAAAGTTTCCATCTTGTGTTTGCTAACTTGAACCATTTTCACACATGATGGGAGAATTTCCTGAGAGCATGTGGAACATCCACAGAACCCCTCCTTCCAGTCGCAGCTCACAGTTAGAGGCTCTCACCATGAGGAGAAGGTGAAAGATCACAAACATCTCTCCTTTATAACGGACCATCTGTTATTAATATCAGACAAGTTTAAAGATACAGTTTGGGAGAAAAAGCCCACCCTGAGGTGATGATCCTAAGAACAAACCCCCCTCAGACTCTTTTAGATCTCTTGAAAAACTGCAGTCAGTCTTAGACTGTTGATAATTCCTGAATCATCCAGTCAGCTGACTGCAGCCCAGCGTGCTTTATTCCCCTCCATCAGGGCACCTCCTCCCAACCCACTCTGACTATCAGCCCAGTCATGCTCCTGATCTCTTGGCTCGTTAGGTGACTCAGCTCCTTAAGCTGTGGGTAAATCTCACCTGAACAGTTTCCACGGTGTAGATCTTCTTTAGGTTGGATTCACACTCTGCAGCCGTTGTCCCCGGTAACGACCTGGAACAAGGACAGACTGATTACATATGAGCGTCTGTGACGGTCATAAAGATGTCCCATCGTTTTGTAAAGCACAGCTTTACTGCTGGCTTCTATAGTTTGACATATTACCTATATTTTCTATAAATGTATGTCTTTGGATGCATTTTAAATTCTAAAAATACATTTTAACCAGAACAGACATTAAAACAACCTGAGCAAGGCTGAGTTTCACTAAATTAATTTATATAATCCCCTACATGGAGGAAACAATTTTAACCCAAAGGTTTATTTCAAATATCTAATGACTGGCCAACTAATAGGAACATTGGCTTAATGAGGTTAAAGTAAACAATAAAAAGCACAAAGAGGAAAGTCTGTTCCTGCTCCAGTTCCTCAGTCATTTTTTTTTACCCGTTTAATTCATGCAAAGCAGGTTGTTTCAATAAATAACAGACCTCTGCAGTAATATGGCGAGATGTAAACAAATGTATTTTGGAGATGACAGAAATTAGGATTAGACCAAGAACAAGGAAATTCTAATAATGCAACAAATCAATCAGCTTTTAGATACATTTGCAACCTGCACTGCTTTGATTTTAGTAGATAAAATTAGCACAGTTTAAACAAACCAACAAAAAATGGCTGAATTATGATATTCCCTTTCAGTGTTAATAAATAATCTGAACTCTAGATGTAAACAGAACTGGTAGGAAGAAGATCTATTTTCATACAAGTAAATAGCACATAATTAGTAGATAGAAAGGAGCTTTTTTACAGATCAGTAAAAAAGTAGTAATCATGATTTTAGAAAAGAAGACCATCTGATGGGCCCCTAATCTGCTGGATAACACAAAGTATCTTCAGGGGGACAGTGGCCCCACAGGGGTCTCCTCTGAGGTCCACTCTGCTGCTCCAGGACTCATTTCTGTTTACAACCTTCAGGTAAAAGTCTTTCCCTGCACAAACTGGAGGTGGTGTTTGTGGAAACAACCAGAAAAGGCTCCTGAGCGCCTTCAATGTGAATATTTGTGCAGCTACGTTTTGCCTCCAGAGGCCTGAGCCGCTGTGGCCTCGGTGTGTTGTTGCTGCTTGTCCAGGGGCCCCTCACTGCCAGACATGGCGGATCCAACCCAAACATTACCTGTCGAGCCAAAAGGTCCAGGGTGAGTGCAGCGGCAGCGTCGCCGTGTCTCCTTCTCGCTGTTTCTTTGTGATGTTTTCTAACTCTTTCTCGTCGATGTCAATGTTGTCCTCAGGGGGGACCGTCTGGGCGCCTCTGTCCATTTGGACATCCGTCTGAGCTGCAGGGACCGCCATTAACGCTGGAGACGAACCGGGGTTTCTCCTTCGGGTTCTGGGGAAACGTCAGGATCAAACGGCCCGGTTCGGTTTGGGGCTTTATCTTCCGATTTCGAGACACACTACCGCTTTTCCGCCCACCGACCTCTGACGTGCTTACGTCACTGGCTAGGAACGTAGCAGCGGGTCCACCACAAAGACTATGGAAAAAGGCGATGGCTCACTCTTCCAAATTTTCTTCATTGAACATTTTCTATAGATCAAACAGGGGGTCCGCGACCCCTAGGGGGTCCACGGAGGTACTGCTTGTTGTTTTGTTTTTTTTGTTTTTCACTATATATATATATATATA